CAGGAGCTGCCACAGAGAAGGCTCTCCCCCTGGGGGTCGCCAGCCGGCATTGTCTGGCCGACGGCACTCTAAGGAGGCCCTCTCTGTGGGAGCGGACTGGTCGAAGGAAGGTGTTTGGTAGGAGGCGGTCTTGCAAATACCTAGGTCCATTGCCATGGAGCGCTTTAAAAGTTGTTACTAACACCTTGAAGCGCACCCGCTTTCTGCTCATCACACCCCTTTTATGCACATTTATTTTTATTTAAATGGTTACAAGTGAGAAAGACTACCATCTTTACTAGAATTTCAGTAAGGAAAGAAGTTATTTCTATAGTTGTTACTTGTTTAGGATTTTTGAAAAATAACCCTATGTTTACTGGTTTCAAAGAATGGGAGCTAAGGAGCATTTTTTACTCTGGGGGTGGCAGCTTCTCATGTTGATGTATAATTGATTGATGGATTGCTATATCTGATTGAAAGTGAGAATAAGTGTGCTAGTTGAACAGCAAAAATAGTTTCTAAATTTCCTTGTGAACTGACTGGTATGGATACAACAACTTTTTAATATTTCAATTTTTGAACCCCTTCTAATTAATGACAAACTCTTACCTTCTGAATTACTGAGTCACTGACATTCACCCAGTTCCATTGAATTTATATCATTGCAGATCTGAATTAGCTGATACCATCCTGTCAGTTCACCCTTCTGATGTCTTGGACATGCCAGTGGATCCCAATGAACCCACATACTGCTTGTGCCATCAAGTATCTTATGGAGAAATGATTGGGTGTGACAACCCTGATGTGAGTATTGAAATAAATGAACATATGACAAATGCTATCCATTTATACTGTGGGATGAAATTTGCAGTCTAAACCAAAAACAACTGCCAATCCAGTATAGGATTCTTCATAAAATCACAAACCCATCCCTGGTTCTTGTAAAGTGTTGGAACATTGAGTCATCTTGTACCCTTCCAGGAAATACAATTTATTTTGCAAGAATTTGTATTGCAAATGTGGAGGAAGCAGCACTGCAGCAGCTATTTAAAATTACACTGATTTATAGGCTTAAAAAAAAAAGAAGATGCAAAGAAAAAAAATCACAGCCCTAGTAGCACCATAGAGGGATTCTGTAGACTTTTTGTTACACAATTTTGGAAAAGTTCAATTATATTTGTTTAATTTGAAAAATCCATACATTAACATTCTCCACATATCATTGCTCCATATATCATATTATGAAATATGGAATACATACTACTATGAAATCATGAATATATCATCAGCTAATGTGCTCCTGTTTGCTTTGCTGTAAAAAATAAGCCCTGTACTTCTACAATGTAAGCATTTTACAAGAAAGAATATTGAAATAAAATTTGCTACTTCTGCATATGATACAGAAGGACTAGGTAGCTCATAAGACTGATAATGAAAAAATTATGCCATTCATTTTTTTTTCAACCCCAAATATAGTGTCCAATTGAATGGTTTCACTTTGCTTGTGTGGATCTCACGACCAAACCCAAAGGGAAATGGTATGTACCATGAATTATTTGCTTTTTGTTCTCCTAGATCATTTGTCCCAAGAAGGTTGAAAGCACTGTTGCTAAGATATATTTGATTCAGTGCTTTCTAAATTATTGTGGAAGAGCTATCTTTTGATATCTGAGCTTATAATATAAGACAACTCTTCCTCAATCTAGCAACTTTCTGGATGTGCTGGAAATTATAGTCCCAACATATCTGTCAGGTACCAATTTAGGAAAAAGTGGTCTGATGCAATTACTGTAAGCATATCTGCTGGGAAACATATCCCACTGAATTTAGAAATGTATATCATTCAGCAAACTGCTGTATGAAGAAATTACTGTTCCTTTATTTGAAAATATCACTGAAATCTGAGATTTTAGAATTTATACATCTGTCTATTTGCAAAGTGACTTTAAATTGGCAAATTAAAAAACTACACATCCACACACGTAATATACATATCTTATGGGGTCTAGGACGTTTAGGCCAACACGCAAAGATATGTGTATGTATTGAATCAATGGATGAAAATAAGGGAAGTGAATATATCTGTGATTGTATTAATAGGGGGCATGAGATCTCCAGTGGTCTTCATGCTAATCTATTCATAAATCAATTTATTCCTTTGTCAAATAGCAGTGGTTTCATAGAAGTGTATTGGGCTAAATATAATGCTTTTCTTTTTTTAGGTATTGTCCTCGCTGTGCGCAGGAGAAGAAGAAGAAGTAGAAATGATGTACAATATGAAAAAAATTTAATATATTCATATGTTGCAGAATTTTGTTTTCATCACCAACCCACCTTGTTTGGCCTGAAACAAAGCAGTAGCCAGATGTTCTCTTTATTAGCCATGCTAATGATAAAAGTGGGGTATATAGGAAGTTCATTAGTGATGATTATTTGGGTTACAAAGTACAATTATGTGTCACTGTAATCAAAGGTATGAAGTACTTAAAAAGGTATGAAGGTCTGCACTGGAATTTCTGCTAATATACTGAACCCTGTGAAAACTGCCTGTGGCCTTTCATGTGAAGAAGATAGCATTTTTTGTTGTCACAAAATGTAGTCATTTTGGGAAGCTTTCACCAGTGTCATTTCACTGGCAGAATGACATGTTTTCTCTTATATTTCCCAATGCATCCTCTAAAATTATTGTAGAGATTTGGGATGAGCATTGGGAAACACGTTCAGAGTGAAGTATGAATCCTGTTGCGTGAGAAGAATAGACTTGCACAGGGCTTTTTTTCTCGGAGAAAAGGTGGCGGAACTCAAACCTGGCCACGCCCTCATCAAACCCTAGGACCGCCCCTTTAGAGAACAGGAATGCAAGTAAAATTTGGGAGGGGCTATTTCCGGTGTGGGAGGGGCTATTTCCGGTGCGGCCGGCCCGGAAAAAGGTGCCGGAACGCGGTTCCGCCGCGTTCCG